CTAGAAGAACTATAGTATTACTATACGTTTTTCAAACAAGATCGCACCAAAACGTACCTTAATGAAACAAGAGTGAACCAAACGCCAACCAAAACTTTAAACAACAACGCAACACAGCGTTCTTTAAATTCAAATGAAAGTAAAATCTCGGATTTATGTCAATACTTCTATTTTTTCATAAAAGCACGTGGTCATTGAAAAGACAGATATTACTAAAAAAAAATGTGACAGTTTATATCTAAATTATACCACAACGTACCTAAGTGAAAAGAAGAATGTCAAAATATGTAAAACAATAACGCACCACAACGTTCTTAAATTCGTCCAAAACTGAAAAAATTGATATCATGAAAAACGGAGAAAGCAATTGAACTTCACAAAAAAAGACAAAATACTTTATTTCCTCAGACACAAACGTGTACAAGAGGTCAAAACATGATAAAGTATACACATATATCGACAGCAGAGTAGTGTATAACAGCACGTGATTTTCATGACATTGAGATATACCTATAAGTTTAAAGGATTACATTTGTACAGATATCTTCCTATTTATTCAGTGATTGTGAGTACCTAAATATATATAAATATAAACATATGTATAAAAATTATATCTACAACAAATAAGTAATCTTTCTAAGAAAAGTACATACTTTCCTATACACCTTTATGTTGCACAATGAAAGTAAACCGATTAGTTTCTGCCTGGAAGGATATGGTAAGTAATAATTAGGTACAATATTTTGTCTAAGAAGTGACACACTAGGATGTGAACAAACACACATATAATGATATTCGTCGCCAATATTTTGATTACATAGATGACATATCCTATTTTCTTTTAAAATATTTTTCTATCTTCCCGTTTCAATTGGGAATTTAAGATTTGAACATCTAAATTTAGCCATATACAATCTATCAGTATTTCCCAATCGTAGTAGATAGGGTTCTAATTCAAATATATTTTTGAATTTACCATAGAATTCTCCTCTTGAAGAATTATTAATTACAGAGAACCATTGTTGTATAAACTGATCAACAAGTTTTTGTTTGACAAGAGATTTCAACATTTCTCTATTCATAGGTATCTGATCATTCCATATAAAAGTTAAGAACACATTCATCAAGAATGGATTTGATGTACGTAACCCATTTAAAATGTTTGGGTTTACTCTGGTGAAGTTGTAACATAAGTCTATATAAAGTATTAAATTTGATTTTGATTTTTGGTATTTTAACGCCACTTTTAAGCACCGCTTTTGGGCTATTTCGTGGCGGCCAGTTTTTATTGGTGGAGGAAGCCGGAGTGCCCGGAGAAAACAACCGACCTTCGATAGGAAAACTGACAATCCTAGTCAGTTAAGATTGGAGTCGAGTGCACCCGCACGAGCGGGGTTCGAACTCACAACCTCAGTGTTGACTGGCTAGTGATTACAGTAGTAACTACTTAGACCACTCGGCCACCGAGACCCCCTAAAGTATTAGATAATCTATTCTCATTTGAGAGCATATCATTCCAGAACATAACAATGCGTAGTTTAATAGTAATATCAATGGGATAACGACCAAGTTCCCCGTAAACCATAAAATTTGGAGTACTTTTTCTCACGTGCAGAATATTTTTACAAAACTCACGAAAGCCCTTCTTTCAATATTATTAATAACTACATATACTTTATCTGTTGACAATATTAATTTTGAAAGTAAACATAGTTTTTACTATTCCAATTTATATGTCTGCGAAATATATTAGTACGGTATAGATAAAGAAAAACAATATATTACTTTATTATGTTGTTTGATAAAATTATCTGTACAAAAACATGAACTGTCTAGTCATGTGTAGATAAAAAAGATTGATTGGGCGGATATTATACACTATATTTTATGTCTAACAGTCTTTGGCAAAACCTTTCGGAATCTTGGGTCTTCAATGCTCACTGATGAGTCTTTTATACATACGAAACGTGCGTCTGGCGTACAAAATTACAACCCCGGTATATATAATGAGCTAATTTACAGTACTTGAACCATTTTACAAGAGTTTAAGATTAAATCAAAAGATGCAACTTTGTCTTAAACACACTTGTTTGGACACTGTGGAGCCGAAATTGCGTTCATTAGGGGCCATAACTCTGTCAAAATGTTACCGAAAGTTCATCCTGCTAATATTTATTTCATCGTCATTATTAATTAGGATAAATTGATTTGATGTTATTCAATCGAAATTTTGCTCATTTCCAAGAAGTCTTTTTGTGGTTTAATTGCCTGTTCAAATATTGCTTACCTTATTAAAAAAATTGAAACATGGATGCAAATGTAACAAAAATTATATAAAAAAAACTCTCAGATATCGACAGTAGCCGTGAAAATTTGACAACACTATTTTTTATCAACATCCCGTGCGTAGCGTTTTCTAGCACAGATAAGATTATCAAAGAAACATAAATTAATGTACACGATCTCAACGCTTTAATTTAAGTATTATATTTATATAAGAAGAAGATAACATAAAATACAACAGATAATCTTTGATTGATTATTATTTTTTATTATTTGGTATATCTTAGTTTTCGTGAAAAATATTTTGCTAGAGCAATGTACTTTGCGTATTTAGTTCTAGCTTTGGATGAAAGGGTTAACATTAAGGGGTGGCATACGGGCATCATTTTCGAACTTATTAATAATACCGCAACGGACAAATATATTGATGCTGTTCTTAGTTTCAATGGTATGTGCTTAGCAAATCAACTAAAAAGCTAGTGTTGACCTGTTATGATCTGGTCAGCGACTGCAGTAACACGATCCAAATTTGAGATGAAGCCAATACATAATTACACCGTGAGGAGGTCAGTGACAACAAAAATAGCAACGATCATTACACAATAGAAGCTCTAACATTATAGAATACAGCGATGTGAAGTGGATGTAAGCAATGATAGGCCACCGTACGGCCTTCAACAACGAGAAAAAACCCATACCGTATATTCAGCTATATGAAATGAAAAATGTGAAATAATTCAAATGAAAAACCTAACATCCTAATCTATAGTAAAACAAATATAACAAACATGAACCACCTACAACCACTGAACTGCAGATTCCTGACTTGGGACAGGCACATCAAGAATGTGGCGGAGTTAATCATGTTTGTGAGCACTCAACCCTTCACTATAACATGGGACAGTGGTGTAACAATACAAGATAAGAATAAAAAATAAAAATCAGTTGCAATTAGTATACTATCTTCCTTGATGCATTTTCAAATGTAAACCAGTTAGTTTGTTTGCAAGAATATTGATTAACTATACAGATGCTTCTGTTTAATAGATTCTAGTTACATTCCCAGCATGTTCAAAGTAGAATGCGCAAATTAGGAGCATTCAACACAACAGTTCCTCTTAATCATCAACAACAGACATGGCAAACGTAAACAGGGCAAAATATTCACTGCAAAAATTACGCAACCATCTTTGTTTCAAAACACTATATAGTTATGACAAAAACATTAGAATACCTTGTGCAAAATTACGCAACCATCTTTCTTTCAAAACAATATATTAACGACAACAACATTAGAATTGCCTTGCCAAAGTCAATTAATGATTTCATTTACTGTTGCTATGACAACGTTTTTGTAAACAAAACATTATAATAGTTATACAGCATAAAATATGTACAGACTGTTAAACTAATCCATCAAATAGATGTTTTTCATGTCAATTACTTAATGATAAAATAGTAATAATGCAAGAGGTTTCTGGCACCGTATCGATGTTTTTTTGCAACAGTTATTGGTTTAAATCTTTAACTACGTCATGCACTTTTCAAAATAAAACAATCTGATAAAAATTGAAGTGTTTAATATGCTATATTGCGATTAAAGAAGCGATAAAACACCTGATTTTAAATTTGCAAAATTAAAATTACTACAAATGATGATTGTCTTCTCGGTCTACCGGTACTACGATGTAAGCCGTGTAGGTGTTATCATATTTTCTTGAAACTGGTCAGTTTAACCGTGAGGTTTTAAAATTAATGAAATGAGTATTACTCTGGTGAAGCAGCATGGTTCATGTTACTTTATCTTTGATTAAGTAGAGTTCGACATGTGTAAAAGAGGGGTGAAATATACCAAGAGTAAAATCAAACTCATAAGTAGAAAAACAAACTGACAATACCATGGAAAAAATACCAAAAAACGACCAATAGACAAACAGTATACAAAACACAACATAGAAAAACACGAACCCCACCAAAACCGAGGGTTATCCCAGGTTCTCCGGAATATTAAGCAGGGTATTATAGGATTCCAAACGTGACTTTTTGTAGCTCCTTTTAAACTTTTAATAGAATTTACTCATTGCAAGAAAAATGTTTACTAGCAACACGTGTTTTGTGGATACATTAAAGTGGTATGCGATTTCGGTTCGGAAGGAAAAAAATATGTTCCAGTTTTAATTATTCCAGAACTGTAAAAAACAATATCTAAATCAAATTATAAGATACTATTATAAGGTTATTAAAAAGATGAGTCATAGCAAAGAAATGCCAAAATAAGATATGCATTGTGAACACATAACACAGTACACGTATTTAAAGACATAGACATCTATGAGTGTTCATATTTAGACAGTTCTTAAATTTTGTATAAATAACATTTAACATATTAAGTAAATGCCTTGAATAACTAACCCGTTGACTAACCAATATCATTATGCATGTTTAATTTTATCGCAATTATAGTATTTTATCATACGCACAAATTAATAAATAATATTGCTTTCCCGAATATCAAAAATATCAAACTACTGTGCACATGTGTTTTCGATAGAACATTATTGTCTGCAGATATTAAGATGTGCAGCCTGTTGCATAATGATTGTGTTTCTTCGGACTTATCTTTCTCTTCTCTTAATTGGATAAATGTAAACAAAACCAGCTTTCCACAGATAAACATGATTCAAATAAATATTATGAATGATTAAAACATTACTCACCATAAATTTGATGTAATTTACAAAGAAATTCTCCTGACATTCTTTCCTCTTTACCACTCCAAAATCATCTCACTAACGAAACGTCATAATATGGTGAGAACTATTTTGGCGTAAAGAGTTCCTGAAAGCAATAATTAGGTTGAATAGGTACACTTCATCACTAATCATCCATTACAAAATTATTTCTTTTTTTGAAATAGAATTTATAGATTTGAAACCAAATGGATGATGTTTTTTCTTCTGCTAAAACTAGTAGTTTGTTGAAAGAAAATTAGAGTTATGCAATCTGCATTAAGACTCTTTTAGTTTTTATGTGCAGATTTTGGCACACGTTTGATATACGAAGCTGCGATGTCAGAATATAATGTGTTTTCAACAATTTGTTAACGTTATTAACATTTAAGCTTTTGATAAATCGAGAAATTAATTCCCAAAAATTTACAGCAATTACACGTGCGTAATGTAAACCGTGCAGAGCTTTTGTCTAAAGTTCAAGATATGGAGTGAGTTTGAGTTTATACTTCATATTTTAGTATGACATATGTTTTTGTTTTGCTGAATATTATCTCTACTACAAGTAACCTTGAAAGACTTGGAAATTAGATATTGATTAACTCATCACGTGTTCTAAGAAAGTGTCTTAACCGAATCAGAAATGCACAAAACCGTCAATATACAATGAGAGAGTTGTCTCATTGGCAATTATACCACATCTTCTTTTTAAATATATACGTACTGCAGTACAGATAATTTAAATTTAAATGTACAAGCTTATTAGATAGGAAAACAGGAGTGGCATGTTGAGCTTTCTTCTTTTTTCGAAGCTAGTACCAATGCAATGTTATGCTCTGACAAAAGAACGTACTACATTGTTTTTATTTTCCAATTTTAGTACAGATGAATTGTATATTTTCAAACAATATAACTTAAGTATATGTTGTTATTGTCTATAATTATTTAATTCCAGTATTTGTCTTTGATTTTTTCGAAAATTCGACATTGTTTGGACACAGACCACGAAAACAAAAGCCACCAAAATGATATGTGACGTGAAAATTTATTTGAATAATACCGTTTGCTCATTAAGCAGGGTACCAGGCAACGATTTATGTAAACTCTAGAATATTCCATCAGTTTCTTCATATACGCTTGCATGTATTTGCATATATAGTAAAATGGTCAATCGCGGGCTGATTATCAATAGCTTCATGAAATGAAATTTTATTTCCCGGTTTTGCCATCGAACAAGAAATTTGTGTTACTACACATGTAATAAATTGTTTTCCGTTTTGTTTATATTTTTCAGTGTTTCCCTGTTTTTTCAATGAACTTGCACTGAAAACTAGATTATTTTAGTGCATGTACATGTTGTCTTATTCGTAATATCTTGACTGAGATAATACATAATAACTAACGGAAGAACTCTATGAAGAGTGCTTGAAAAATTTCATTTATCTTCTTCACGGTTTCGCATTAAACTTGTAAACATGTACAATAATGAGTATGAAATTGTTCTCTATTTTGTATAAATCATAAGGGTTGTCTTTTCTTATCAATATATGTACAGAGTATATTTCTCCCAGTTGATACGCTATTCCAAGGCTTGCATTTCCTTGATTGAGGGTTACTGCTTACAAGAAAGCTATTAAAACAAGAGTTCGAAGTGGTGAAGTTGAAGTCATCCCTTTGTAAATTTTACGGACGCTATCACGAGTATGTCGACGGATATGTTCCAATTGTCGTTACTATAAAATTCTGTCCCCTTTTCTCCGAATGTGACCGACCGAATTAGACTTATCACCGGGTTTGTACTTACATGAGCAACACGACGGCCCTTCCGGAGCACCCGATATCACCCCCAGTTTTTGGTGGAGTTGATGTTGCTCAGTTTTTAGTTTTCTATGTTGTGTTTTGTCTACTGTTGTTTGTCTTTATGTCTTTCTTTTTTTTTTGCCACGGCGATGTCATTTTATTTTCGACTTATGAGTTTGAATGTCTTTGTACCTTTCGCCTCTCTCTTATGTAAACGATTTTCACTGATACCGATTTGTTATAAATTTTGAATGTCTTTATAGTGCAATGTATAATCAAGCAACCACTTTAATATAATAAATATTTTTCTGATGAATAAACATTTATGATTATGAATATCTCTATCTAATAATTATATTGTTGCCTAAACCTGCCATAACATTTTACCAAGGAGAAACGGGATTTTTATTATCAATTTCTCTCTAATATGTTTTCTTTAATTATTGATTAATGTTTATATGCATAATATAGTATCTCATAAATCTTGAACAAAAGTATTGATAGTCACCCAAAAATAGAATTGCGTATTGTAAAATTTCCTTTAAGGTGGTACATAACACTACAGGGAGATAACTCTGTAAAAATCAGCTGAACGTTTTAATCATGCTCTATTGTTATGGAAATATTAAGCTTCTCAATGATCTGAATTAGTGTTTGTCAAACTGCTGAAATCCAATGAAATTTTTCCGATCAAGTTTGTGGTTCAAGTTTTTCTGAAATTTTTATATTTTTGTCAAAGGGTCAAAGTAAATATTTTGTCAAAATTTTATGAAAATTAAACGAGCCAAATTAATTTTAGTCAAGGTGTTGGGTACCACCTTAATGTTTAAATTAATGCAATTTATATTATGATTTTGCTGAAATCAATGTACGTTTATCTATATAAACACTTTGTTTACGGACAAATATTCATTCTGAAGCTGAATGAAAAAGAGGCGGAAGATATCTCAAAACTCCTAAGTCGATATTAACTGACAACGTCATGGCAACACAAAAATACGAAAGGCGAAACAATCAGTCCCCAAAATACTACATAGAAAACTATAGATTGAGCAAACGTGATCAAAACGAATTTCATTAAAACTGGCAAATATGTTGTTGCGTATAAAAAAAACATTCCAGTACTACAATTTTAGTTTATTGTTACCGAATGGAAAAAAGGTTTCATAATCCTATTTAGAAAGGTTCGATTTTACTCTTAAATTATTAGAGAGCAAGTAAATGTTCGAGTACATTCTTTTTATTATTGAAAGCTGATAGCTATAAATGTGGACTTAGTTTGTTTTATCCACATACATATATTTAAAGGAGTAAATCAAAATTTGTGATGGAAACATACATACAAGGGAATTAAATGTACACTAAAAAGTGACTTTTATATCAATAAAAATAAACAAGTAACTCAAAATCTATATAGTCATATTTTAACCCATCTTTGTCGGGCTTTAATAAGGGATGCATCGATTAAACTTACAAGAAACAGTAAAAGTCAGCTTGCTCTTGATATATTTTGTTACACAGTATTATGCAATCAACGACACACGGTTCATGTATAATGTAAGCAGCTAAAAGCAGACATTCTTGATGATGTATAGAATTTTCTTTATCAACCTATTCGATTTCCGTTGATTACGCTTGTTTTCAAGCTGCAAAGCTAGGAGCATTGATAAAAATAACTAAATTATTTCAACCCTGCAATGTTGATGTAGCTGTCCGTAGCTAGGAACCTCGTCAGAGGCCGTTTAATAGCTTAATTTTATTGTGTTTTCTTGACTGGTTTTCTTTTGTTCGTTTTGTATTTTCTTGAATTGTCTCCTAAGGAATTGTGTGGTGATAGCAGACCAACTGTTGTCTCTCCCAAATTTATATGACCACTTGTTCTGGCTCTTACGATTTTGAGCTTGACAAATTGTATAGAAACTTGTCTGTTGTTGAAGTCTGTATGTTGACCTCTGATAACAGATATATCAGTCCATCCCTATTTATTTCGTTTTTTTTCTTTCAGTTACATACGTATATGCACCCCACATCTATGTTCGTATTTCTAATAAAGTTGTTATCTCCTCTAGATCTCGAGCTCGTGCAAATGTATATATAAAGCGAACAAGTTTGTTTATAAATCAATACAATGTGTGCACATGCACTTAAACAAAACGACATTTTAGATACAAAGATTCAGAGAGGACTCCAGTTCATCTAGTTTATGTAGATTTATTTTTCTAATATTTCTTTAAGGTTTGATTGAAAGTCATACTATCAGAAATGTATATATAGTTATTTCTGAACACTTAATTTTGCTGCATGAAAAATTCTATGACGTACATCAACATATAATAAGTGTAGGTAGGCATGGTTTCAAATTAGCAGGTTAAATACTTTGAGCTTACGTTCAGTAACTACGGCTTTTTTACAGAATAATATGCTGATTGTTTTGTATGTAGTTATACGTACATTGTACCGTTATTTAAGAGTTTATACATTGTACCGTTATTTAAGAGTTTATACATTGTACCGTTATTTAAGAGTTTATACATTGTACCGTTATTTAAGAGTTTATACAGTGTACCGTTATTTAAGAGTTTATACATTGTACCGTTATTTAAGAGTTAAGTGCATTTCCTGTTCTGATTTTTATTGTATGTTCTTTTATGCAAGTTTTGGTAAGTCTACTGATCAAATTAAAAAAAGGGGGAGGATTGAGATCTCAAAAAATTATATATTTTAACCCCGCCGCATATTCATGTCCCTGTCCTTAGTATATCTTCGCTGGCCAAGGGTTAGAGGAGGGGACTGGATCGTAACCCTTGGCTAGCTAAGATGTCCTTAGTAAGGAACCTCATCTATTATAGACTCGGGACGATGTAGAACTTACTATATTGTTTGGACACCTGTCTATTGTTGAAGCATATAAATTTGCCCTCTTGATGTCTTTTTGGTTGTTTGTGTCATTGGGTTGCTGTCTCATTGACCTGTACATCACTCTCTTCTAATTCATCTTTTATTACTAAAGAAACACAGATTCGCGAGTCGTGTGCAGCAAAATTTGTTTTCAAAATATTGTCCAATAATTATTATTATACCTTTCAGGATTGTAACATTAGAACCAACACTAGTCTCAACACTTGAGAAAATAAATAAAATTTTATATAGATTTATAATATTCTCAAAATGTTCCAATCGCAACAATTGTATTTCCGTATGTATAACAAAAAAAGATGCGTTATACGTATTTGTAATAATGACAAATACATTCTCGAATGATTACTTACCTTAAACTCAGGTGAGCAACCTTTTTATATCCTTGAATGACAGTCAAAATAGAAAGTTAATCCCAACGAAACAAAGCATTCTCAGCTGATGAAATAAAAGAATATCAAATGGGAATGTAACTCTGCACATATCTTAGCATATTATCATGCACGGGCGATATGTGTTTAGATTATAATTATTTACGTCTACTATAATCAAATTGATGATCTCACGTGTAAACGCGCGTTAGAGGTTCCAGCAGAGTCTTCAATAATCTATCAATTACTCGTTATCTCTTCCTGCAAACAAGCAGATGATTGATGAAGAGAAGTCCCTAAAAACTAAATCTAGAGTTGACCCGATACTGATTTCTTTTCTGAGTATGAAATATTTTTGTTCAGATGTCTAAGGATTTTTTGTCGTGATTAGTATTTTGCACCCTTGCTACCTCTCGCCTTATTTTTATAATGTTAACCAATTAGTTTAATTTATTGAAAATTATGCTCTATTATACTCCAATGGGGTTGATGACATGAAAACAAAATAACACATTACATAATACATCACAAAAATAATAAAAAACACATCATTTCATATATAGATATAAGAAGATGTGGTATGAGTGCCAATGAGACAACTCTCCATTCAAGTCACAATTTATAAAAGTAAACCATGCATTATAGGTCAAAGTACGGTCTTCAAGACGGAGCCTTGGCTCACACCGCACAGCAAGCTACATGTATAAAGGGCCCAAAAAATTACTAGTGTAAAACCATTCAAACGGGAAAACCAACGGTCTAATCTATATAAAAAACGAGAAACACTTATGAACCACATCAACAAACGACAACTATTGAACATTAGATTCCTGACTTAGGACAGGTGCATGTACATATCATGCAGTTGTTGAATCCACTCTCCTCAGTGACCAGGATTTTTAATAAATGGAGCCGCATACCGCATAACTGACAGACATGGAAGACATAAAATCTATTTATCCAATTTATCCATCTCATCTATAATTGAATAGATATTTTTACTTTAACTTAAGAATTCAAGTTTTCATTTTAATAGTATAGAAATCTCTGTGTTGACAAAGCTTTGGTGCTTTTATTACCAGCTGCTGTAAAATACAGTGGTTTGCAAATGTTTACAGTCTCAATTAATACTGATATCCTGCAACTGCAGAAGGAGGGGTACCTTTATATTTAGACTGTGTGTTTCTGAAATGTTCATTCAACAAAACTTTTGTGTATAAAGATGATCGAAATGTATTACAATCTTTAATGCCACTGACCGTAATTTGACCACTAAATGTCTTTTTGGTATTTGTGACGTTGAGGGATTGTTTCGTCGATGTACTCGACACCCCAGTTTCATGATTCCTTTAAATATGTCAATTAAATAGTTATTCAAATATTTCTGGCACAACATCGTAATAGAATTATATAGAAATTCTGTCTTGACATTAGACACTGTGTATCATCGCCACCGGAAATTGGGTACTAACGAAGCGGAGAGAAATGGAAAAAAAAGTAAACAAGGTAAGAATTCATTCAATTTAAAGCATTTCTACTGATTTGACGAGGGTACCGCTTAAGAAATGATTTTCTGATATATAATTCTTTAAATTATTAGGCCGATAAGTACAAAATTAAGACAAGATTTTGTGTTATACTCCAAAGCTTGCCACTTAGTACCTGAAAATTTCGAGGTCGATTGTCCTCTGTCGCCCCATTGGCAAGATATTCAACTGTTTTTCATTATTTTTCCAGACACGTTTTTAGATTATGATAGTGTGACATCATATTGACTGAAATCTGTTGTCATAAAGATGTTTTTAAAGAATACGGACCAAAACATTGTTTGTTTATTGTACGGCGAATTGCAGGACGTTGTACGGCGAATTGCAAAATAACAACTTTTGTCTGTACGGCGTCTTGCAATATATTGTAATTTAAAGATGAAATTAATCATTGTTTAGATAATATCAAGTGACGAAATTTTGGCTGTATCAAAGCTTTAACGGCTTACAAATATACAAAATAAACCACTTATCAAATATTATAAAATATATGCCGTTAATTTCGTTCAGAAGTCGTCGTTGCGTACCTCTTTTTGACTTTGTGTTTTTAAAGACAACAAGGTTTTTTTCAACCATATTATCTTAAATACATTCATATATCGTTATAATACTAACGACTGTTGTCTTATTTGTTGTCAGGGTGAAATTTTGTAAGTTCAATAAAAAAAAACCGACCATTCATCTTTTGTTGGTGCTGGTTTTTTTTTTTTTTTTAAATATAAACAGTGGAGATGTTGTATGATTGCAAATAAGATAACTATCCACCAGGGTAAAACAAGTGTAATGTAAGCAATTATATGCTATCGTTTGGCCTTTAACAACGAAAAATCGTACCTTACAGTCGGCTGTAAAAAGCCCCGATATGAAAATTGTGGAAGGATTCAACAAGAAAACTAACGGCCTAACTCATAACAAAACAATTTACGAAAAATAACAAATATGATAGAGATGAACCAACGACAACCACCAAACTACAGGCTCGTGGCTTCGAACAGACACATAAAGAATGTGCTGGGTTAAATAGATATAGGAAGATGTGGTACGAGTGCCAATGAGACAACTCTCAATCCAAGTCACGATTTATAAAAGTAAACCATTATAGGTCAAGGTACGGTCTTCAACATTGTTTATTGTTTATTTTTTTAATTTCTGAAATGAATAATTTGTTAAAAGAAAAGTGAAGAAAATACTTTGTTTTCATTGAAAATTAGGAGAAATAAATCATGAATAGTGTTACGAATTAATTTTCTTGTTTCTTATTGAAAATAAGATTGTATTTTTTTTTTTAGTTTAAGTAATTCAATCAATCTTTTTATTTACAGGGAAAAAATAATAAAAGACTGTTGCTAAGGCTGTTTGGCCTAAACTTAAATGAGTAGATGCAGTTGCCTTAAAAGATATAGCAGTACGTGGTTATTTGTTTTCAAACACACCTTCTCTGTTTTGAAACTTATAAAGGTATGGATCTCGGCCTATCTGTTTCAAAATCAACAGTAAGCCCTATTTTTGTTTGTGTGTAAATAATCTAATCTTTAGATAGATGCTAAATTTAAAATGATTTTTCTTAATAAGAAGAAAAATGTGCAACTTAAGCACGCCTGAATGTAAAAAGGTGTACGTACCCGACTTATTCGTTCACTATAAGAATTTACCGATTTCGGTATTTTAACAAAACTGTTTACGAGGGCAAATAAATAAATGAACGCTTATAGCCTATCAAATCAACATTTAAATTTACGTGGATTTTTCCAAAAGAATTTATGAGTATGCACCATCAGGATTCAAAAATATTTCAACCTGTCCTTATTAGATGTTATTTCATTATAATTCTTTAAACTTACAAGTCGAAGATGTTAGCTTTTGTAAATTGTATTAATAAGTATATAATATTAAGATGACAACAACAAAAAACTTCATACAAGGTCATCTTTATTCTCAAGTAGAAAGTTTATATAAATAGTTTATGCCGTAGCCACAGCCGGATTTGTATCCCTTGTATCGGATTCTTCTTTCATTCTTTCCAAAAATGAATAATCTAAGGTTAACATTTTTTTTAAATTTAAATAGTGTTAGCCACCGAGCTTGTTCATTTCTTACCATATAGAGATGAAGTTTTTTTTTAGAAAATTAATGTTCTTTATTCTAATATATTGGCTGTATCTGCCTTTTACAAATAAGACAATAACATTAATTGAAAAAGGAGACGTGGAATGGTTTTCACTGAGAAGACTTTCAACAAAGTCCAAATTAAATAGATTTGACCAACAATTGGTTACTATACACTTCACAATGAACAAAACCCATAACGTATCAAAACTGCCTGATTTATGACAAAATCATAAACAAATATGTCAGGCAGCAACTTACGACAGCCGCTATATTACATGTTCCTGACCAGGGACAGACACATATATATTGAGGCGGGCTTAAACATGTTTGTGAGCACTCAAACCTCCCTTAACATAGTGCCGTGGTGTAGCAATACAACATTTTTTTTTTTGCAGAGAATGATAATTCATTTATATTTCATTTTATCTGAAAGTTGAAAGAGAATTCATTCACTTAATGGTTCTAAATATTCAATGCGGAAAAATTCTCCTGCCATTACCTCCTTCTTTCCCTCCACCCACAATCCATCCCCGAAATGTTCATCACTTATATGCAAATGCTGACTAATGTTGTATGGTTAAAACATTTGGTTGAGGCAATCTAAAGTTTGAGAACAGAAACGACAGCTTTAGCTTTTTTTCATTTATAAAAGGGCATAACTCAAGAACGGTAACAGTGACGCTACCCAATTTATAACTTAATCTGTGTTTTGTAGTGATAAGCATTTCGTGTAAGTTTTAAAACATTTGGTTAAGGCATACTAAAGTTAGAGAACGGAAACCAATTATTGGGACTTTCTGGAGAGACGGGTCGGACGGACATGGGTAACATTTAACGCTACGTCAGGACAGAACAACAGGTCAGTAAAACAGTGACATGCCTTTCCGAAAGTTACAACATTTGCCAGCTTTTGTATATGACGTATTCATATTGTATACATCAGGTATGTAAAAGATGTAATATGACTGTGTTCAAGCCTTATATTGTGTATACATCTTAAATGGTGTCAAGCGAATTGTATTTTTATCAAATGCATAATTAGATATTTGAACCTAATACTTTATTTTCTTTAAAAAGACGGCAAATAAATATTTTGAAATTAGCAAGTTTCCATACAGTTGAAAACAAGTTGCCATACAGTAAATTTGTCAACATGAGCAAGTTGCCGTACCCTAGACTTTATTTTTTATGGTCTATATTCTTTAAAAACGTTCATTTTGACAACAAATTTCAGTAAATATGATGCCACACTATCATAATCTAAAAAAGTGTCTGGAAAAATAATGAAAAATAGTTGAATATCTTGCCAATGGGGCGACAGAGGACGATCGACCTCGAAATTTTCAGGTACTAAGTGGCAAGTTCTTGAGTATAACACAAAATCTTGTCTTAATTTTGTACTTATCGGCCTAATAATTTAAAGAATTATATATCAGAAAATCATTTCTTAAGCGGTACCCTCGTCAAATCAGTAGAAATGCTTTAAATTGAATGAATTCTTACCTTGTTTACTTTTTTTTCCATTTCTCTCCGCTTCGTTAGTACCCAATTTCCGGTGGCGATGATACACAGTGTTAGATAAACTTGTCGAGTTAAAGAAAAACAACGTTCTATTGAAAAGGCATCATCAGATTTCCTAAATAAGAGAAAATACACATCGATTACTAATTTTGTTTCCGAAATCAGTTCTACATTTGTAACAGAAGTGTGTCCAGTTTATTGCAGAGGCTGTTGGCCTTATTTTACCTTACTATATATTTCCTGCTGTATTAAGTCCGTTTCTAACGATCATTGACCCCATGCCACTGCCAGTTTGAATGAGCAACCAATAATCATGTTTCTGTTTAGCCATTGCTATTTATTTATTTTAGCATCATGAATCATGAAATGAAAACATTCAATGTAATTAATATCCATAAACAATGACTAAAAACAACAAGCAATACACACCAATGTATTAATAAAACATGAAAAGCTGCCAGGTTTTACATACACAACAATAAAATCTTATATATGTAAAGATAACGATCTACATCAATTAAATATATACTTTTTATCGTGCAGTTTTTCAACACAAAGTTTCACGCCAAAAATATTGATATGTTGCACGCGCATATGTACGTGTGTGAGTGATTACAATCACCAATCCTAGACACAGTATTATCACGTTTCTCTATGACTGATTATCACTGACTCAGAAGGAATCTCAGGCGACTAGGACCGGCTTTACACTATATATACTAGAAACAGATTACTTCTTATTAATTCTATTAAACAAAGGTAAGCGATAATAATCTTATTAATTACTTATCTATATTGTTCAATCTACCACGAATTATGTCTATAGAATTGTTTGTTCAGGACGAAGCTCAACGACTGATTTCTGAAGTACTCTAGATTTATTTTTGCGATTTAGTAGTGTATATAGTCAGTTAGTTCTTAAGTACAAGTACTCTACATGTATTTTTACTATTTATAGTCCTGTATAAAGACAGTTTAGTAGAAGACATAAAAATGAAAGTTTTAAAATTTCAACTACTAGTAGTTTTGAAATAATTGAGATGTACTTTAATTGATAATTTAAATTATTTATTATTGGATTACATTGTACTTGTTCCTGTTTGTTTGCATATTTTGTTTTTCTTGCTTATTTGGACGTCTGATGTATCGACAATATTGACTGAGTTGATTTGTATTACGCGTTTCTTCGTGTACTACTATCCTTTGCTTTCTTCTGATTGAGATACAAAAAAGAATAATAGTAAATTACCCAGAAAACTTAGCATTGTTTAACCCCGTCACATGTTAATATACGTGTTCCAGTTCTGGTGATAAATCTGTAAATCTAGAAAAAAAACAATTCGGACGTACGAAATTAATAAAGTGTTATTTTCATTTGCAAGTAAGGATGTCCGTCGGTTAAGCCAGTCACAACTGATAGACAATATATATATATATATTGCTTAATATATTAGTACATGTCGGAAAATGCATTAGATATAATAACCTATAGTGAATGGATACCCTATATCCGTTGTTTTCCTATTATAATAGTGTTTAAATGGTCGTCCTTTCTACCGTATGCGGTTGATAGTTGTCTTATTGGAAATCATTATTTTTATGACGTATCGAGAATGGGACAATAGTTTTTTTCAGGTTTTTTTCCCTCCTTCTTTTTTTTTCTGTGCTTGAAGGAACGCAGTGTTGCGGTTTCTTTATATTGATTCTTCGTGTTCTTGGCACTTGCCAGATGATAGCATGACGGGACTGTCAATGCAATCTGTGTGATGTCGATTCATCTGTATTTTACCTGGCAGATAGGATCAACAAGAATGTCGTAAGAATTCAAGTGCCAATAAATGTTCAGAGAAGATGCTCACAATCTAGTGAACAAAACACTACCTTTTCATGGCTAACAAAAATTCTTGAATTTATGTAAATTTACTTTATCGAATCGGTAAGAAAAATTATTTGCTTTTTTAACGCAATGTTCAGAAGCTTTAATATTATATACCCTTTATTTTCAGAAAAGTGACAAATATTCATGGCAAGTATGGGTAAAAGAGGAAAAATTCCGTAAGTATAATGATATCTATAACGTATATCTGAACAACATTTTGAAAGTAAATTGCAATGGCTATTTATAAAAAAAATCTTCAGGCACATATATTAAAACTCATTCTCGACAATAAAAAAAAACGTTTTCTTGTTCAATATAATGAGCATAAAGCTAACAATACGCCCAATATTCATCAAAGAACTAAATAGCAATATGTGGTAGAGAGGTAATGAGTTTTACATGTCTCTGATTATGTAATTTACTTTCCAGAAGCAATAGTTGTTGAACAACTACGGAATATTTGACATGATTATCCTTGTTTCTTTGGATCTGATCCAGAGTGCAAAGAACCGCGATACTTATCAATTTTAAAGAGGTCAAGTCTATTTGTAAGAATGTATTTCTCTTGCGATTGATATAAAAACTCTCGCTTATAGTTTTGATGTGTTAGCCTCAAACTTATCGTATCTGTTTTGAGATCTTTGATATCAAAATAGAAATCATACTCGGTAACTCCCATGTCAGCAATTAAAACACTTTATAGAATATGATTACCGTTCAAACAACACATGTTTCTATGATCGCATTCATTAGATACGCGCATGACCAATAAATAACTCAAAATCCTATCTTAATATACATATAACCACAAAAATTATTTTCACTATTAATCTTGAAGTATAATGTCGTGCAGTTTGTACCTATGTGTTGCATAGTTGAATGCTATCCCTCTGAATAGATATATTTACGATAAGAACTCGTGCCAATGAAAAACACGCGCCATGAATATTAAAACTTTGCACTTTGGTTCATTAGATACATTTCTGATTCCTGCTGAAAACTTTTAGTTGGCTTACAATCCTGTTGGCAAAGAAACTGACGGAGAAAGTACTTTGACATAAATCAATGAAAAGATATCTATCAATTTATATTACGTTGTTGTTGAACATTTTCGGTTTTTTAATGTTATGATGTTTTTTTATCTTCAAAAAGTAAATTATCGTGATGACTATGGTATATATCTACAGGATCGGTGCAATAAAAAATGTGTTCTCAAATATTCAATAGAAATAGGGATAGACAACTATATAGTCTTGGTCAAAGCATGTAACAATTTATTGAATTATAGTTTACATAGAATTCCCATAATCAAACGCGACTGGGAACATATCAATATATCATACGCAGCAAGTATTATATACTGTTATCAATGTGAGCAACACAAAAAAAATGGTGGATCTAAGATAAGCATTAGATATGATAGAGGGGGACATGGTGCAGTTCAATGAAGCTCAGTGGTTTTCTTCTAAACTGACTCATATAAAATATATAGCTCCTTGCTGTTTCTACTTTATTTACATTAAGGTCTTTTTAATTAAAAAGAATAACCAATCAAAGAATTCGATTATTGGAAAATATTCAATACTGACCAAACAACATTTTATTTCAAGAATGCAGCCTCGTCAGAATCTAAGGCAGGTATTTGGTAAATTTCTGTTAAATTAAAAACTAGTCTATAGGCTCGGGAAATTAAGATACAAATATGGTATAAATATGCCTATTTCTGGCGACCGTAATGTGTACATCTAGATTTTTTACTAATGTCAATGTTTTGACGTGTACCATACATTTTATTTTAGTTATTCCTGGAAAGTAAAAAAATTCCATAACTTTAAAGTAACAATATATATTTGTCTATTTCAGTAAAGACGTTCAAGCCATATTCGACAAATATGCACAAAGCAATGTAAAACGATTGTCCCGGCAACATGCTATAGAAATGTTACAACAAGAGTTTGGAATGACTCAACAAGAGGCTATGGTTATGTTTGAAACTTTTGATAAAGATAAAAATGAAATAATGAGTATTTGGGAATTCCAACAGTTCTACGAAACAGTAGGAGCAGAGTGAGTTTAAGCATGTTGTTTAATTTTTCACTTGCATAAGACATTAACAATAATTCACGTGTATGCTTTAGATGTCCAAAAAATGGTGTTCAATTTTTTTAAATCCAATTGCATCATGGGAATATTTAGAGTTTCATTTTCTTCACGATCAACAGAGTGGCAAGGCTTGTTAAAACAGAACGACTTACATAGATTAAACCAGAACAAACACATCAAATTGTTTACATCGTCTTAAACTTTAAAGTAATCGTGTAAACTATTAACATTATTTATCCTTTTTTGTTTATTCTCTACTTTAAATGATACACAACTTCGTCCACATACTCATTTACATTAACACTGAGGTTGTGAGTTCGAATCCTGCACATGGCAGGTGCGCTCGACTCCAATCTTAATTGACGAGGATTGTCAGTCTTCCTACGTGGCAGGTGCGCTCGACTCCAATCTTAATTGACTAGGATTGTCAGTTTTCCGACCGAAGGTCGGTGGTTCTCTCCGGGCACTCCGGTTTCTTCCACCAATGAAAAATGATCGCCACGAAATAGCACAATAGTGCTGAAAGTGGCGCTTAACACTAATCAATCAATCAATCAATCATTTAGCATTATCTTGCTTTCAAATAACAACAATGAAATTATTTTTCATACGATAGAACATACAAATAAAATGACGAAGGTATTGTTAGAATCGCAAATAATGACCCTCGTTGCATCTATAATGTGAAGTCATAATGATTACGAACAGGGAAGAATTTACCGACGGGGCAATCGAAAATAAAAATCGAAGAAAAACAAATAATACCATGACCAAAAGATTAACGATAGCAAGACTATTGTTTTGACAGAAAACTTAAGATTGAGCAACTCGAGCACAAAATAAAAACTGGGGGTGAACTTGGGTGTTAGGTAAACAGTCCTGCTCCGCTGTACAAATCCTGTTTAAATACGTTGATGAGTCTTATCGGGATAATCAAATGTTTGTTCACTTCCATAAGACATAAACAAATACTTAAACCAACAGCACATATTCAACCATTAAACTTCACCAAATGGAATTTAACTGTTTCAACATATTTTATTTTTGTTTTTAATCCAAAATTTAATTTAAATATGTTTTTTGTTTGTTTAGTGCAGCAGATGTAGTAGCCAAATTCCACGAACTTGATAAAGATAACAGTCTGAAATTAGACGGAGACGAAGCCAGAGCAGGCTTAGAGTCTATGGTTACCGGAACTGGAAGAAAATTAGATGAAAAAGAAATACAATTTTTCTTAATGACTGCTTGTGATGATACTGGTGCTATTGATCTTGGCATGTTTTCCAATTTGTTATACAGACTGAAACTTTATAAGGCTGAGCCACCCAAGAAGGGCCAGAAAACGCACATTATAGGCGACGAAACGGATTAAAATGTTGTCAAGGTCTATGAAATTTACATTATTCATCAATATTCATTGTAGATTAATATGATTTTATACGAAACATTGTATATTTTATTTATATATAAGGGATAATTTATAAAATTTCAAATTGTAAATTAATGTAAGAATGCAAACGAATTATACATAAAAAGTGATATACCTGTCAATTTGTAAATTTAGCGTATTAGAATTCACGATGTATACCATTCAAGAATTATATGATTTTAAAACCGCCTTAAACCAATCGGGCCTTATTCTTAACTATGTAGAAAAAAGGAGAGTCAAAATCAGCCAATGTCTTACTTTTAAAAACTGATATTAGGAAAAAAGCAGATACAAATTTATATGTCTTACGAGCAATACCATGTCTTTTAGGAGAGCATCTCAAAATTCTCTTCACAGTTCAATTGTAATAGCACTTTAAATACTCGAATCGTGATAATGGAAAATCATGGCATTGTTGGTTGTTTTCGACTTACGATCGCGAGTTGACTGCTCATTTCAAACTACCATGTGCGGAAAATTAAACACTTATAAAGATTTTCCTTTTCGATAACAAATGTTTGTTTCGGTATTTTCACCGATTCTCTAAGAGCACTTACTTGTTTAACGCCGCGATGGTGTCTGAAAGCCATTAGAATAATTATGCAGATTTGTGCAGATCGCCAGATAACATGTTCATTACATGTAAACATATATATCGTTAGCTTCAACTACAAATATATTGATTACATGTGACCTCCTCGAATTCCTCTGAATCGGTAATTTCGACAACGTTTTTACGTCCGATATGTTGTCTAGTGTTGTAAAATGAAGGGTAATGGTCTTGTATCTGAGATATACTGAGTAAATATCTGAACAGAAATTATTTAAGATTTCATATTTCAGAAATAAACTATACCTTTAACCATCACAATAAATAAATTATTGGAGCAAAAAAGGTTCAATTTGTATACTCGACACAATTGTTTTTATTTAAAATTTATTTCTGCCACTTTAAAAATTTATTTAAATTTGAAATTCTTTATCAAAATATATAAATACATGTGTCTGTTGCTTTACTTGTATACATACAAGAAAATAAGTTAAAAAAGAAGAGTTGTAGAAAAAAGGGACATAAATCCTTGTCTTTGTATTTATGATCAGTTATCAAAACTTTATAGTGTAAACTAGACATGTAAAATGTTTATATTTATTCGCTTTAACTTTGAAATATTTTAATATACATCCTCATAATTCATTCATTATATAGCTTCAAATCTTGTCTGCATCGGGAACACAACTGTTATCAATTTAACAATAATAACTTCAAACCTCCGTACGGATATAAATATTATTTATTCCATAGCCAAATTATTTTGTATATTACAATAAAAGGTATTTTTTCTATCCTGTTTGTTTGAGCTTATTTTTAAGCAGTGGATACTTTGATAATTATTATTTTATTCTATACTGAATGGATTATACTACACGGTGGGTGCCACATGTGGAGCAGAATCTGCTTACTTTTATTTACTTTGGTTCGTGTTGCTCAGACTTTAGTATTTCCATGTTGTGTTTTGTGTACTGTTGTTTATCTTTTGATAGTTTTTCGTTATTTGCAATGGGGCATTATCAGTTTGTTTTCGACTTATGAGTAACCCCTTTGGTATCTTTCGCCTCTCTTTTCTTTAGAACACTATTTACTGGTTCAAATTAGTCCTAGTCTTACTCAAGACCTGGTCCTGGTGTATTTTGAAGATTTGGATCCAGTGTTTCCACAAAACAGCAATGTCGCAGCGTTATGAATTGGCTGTAATATACAATTGACTGCTTGGTACTTTTCAATTATAGACGTACAATTGTAAATGTAAAAGATTACACGCCATGCATTTAAAAAAATGGATTTTATTCTCAATTCAAAATACTGTGTTAGGATTATGTGGGGCAAATAAATATGAAACAGCAACCATTCACAAACGAACAAAAATTGTTTTGTTATAAATTAGGCAGTTAGCTTTTTCAGTTGAATTGTTTCATATTTTTCATGTCGGGGCCTTATATAGCCGACTTTACGGTATGGGGTTTCCTCATTGTTGAAGGCTGTACGGTTGCCTATAATTGCTTACAACCACTTCATTTCAACTTTCGTTGAAAGTTGTTTCATTGGAAATCAAACTCGGCAACTACCCCATCAAATATTTCTAACAATAAAAAAATAAAGAAGTCATTGTATATAAACAGGGATAATTGTACAAAGGGTGTTGAATTCCGTAGTACTAGTATATAGTTCAGATTGTTTAAAACATTTGACCTCTATACCCTTTACATCCGTCTTCCTCATTATTAGTAACTTAATGACTAAATCATTCCAACTTGAAATGACCGAGGCAGCTACAAATATCTTGTTTTAGGAACGGACAAATAATAGTTTGTCAAATACTTTAGCAAAAGTCAGAACTTTACGTGATACTGACATGATGCTTGATTTATTGTTATTAACAACATATATATTTGTTACGTTTTTTGACGTAGTTTTCTACAAAAACTGGGCATTCCTAAGGGAACCAACTCGGCTCCTCTTCCGTCATGAACCTATACTCATATGAGGCGATTATATAGTTAATCCAGTTATAATAGCACCATGCATCTTGGCCAAACACCCATATATATATATATATATATAAACGTATAAACAGGACAAAGTTGATACTTCAAACTCAATTTAATTTCACTGAATATGTACAAAAAGTCAATTTATCTCAGTTATTTTTATTTAATGTTTCAATTTTAATACCGAAAACAAAAATTTTAAATAGCAGATCCATTCAAATGTATTGATTTGATGCTTTTTAAGTTGCTGTCAAAATTCGTAGAACAACTTCATAAAACCGATCTATTGGATTATGGATAAAATAATTTTGATCTAAATATGCATGAAATCGTTGTCACTGAGCGTTAGTCATACAACAATCAATCAAACTTGTACAACACTCAACAGTTGTAAATGTTAAAAAAACTCTTTTGCGATGTCGGTTTACGCCTATTAACCGTCCGCTTCCAATCTGCTTCGCAATCTTTAAACTGCTCCAAAGCCTCGAATCGTTTGTCTTACTAGAAATTAGAATCAAACTACGCCACAGCAAATGCATTTATTCTTACTAAATCATTCAAATATTGATAGAGACCGATATTATTATTAGACATGTGTATTATGATTTCACTGTAATCTTCTTACTATGAATTAAGATAAACAGGACAATTTCTCCTCTTCTAAGTACAAAATGTATTTGAATTCTCTAAACATGTAAATATTTCAACATAGATTAAATGATTTGTAAGAAGTAAGGAAACAAACTTTTATCTTGCCATGATACTTTATTTTTGTCCTGTGCATAGTGTCCGTCTTCGATACATTATTTCAAAACACTGTTTAAGATGTTTCATGTATCTTTCTAAAGTATACTGTCTAATATGTTTCATGTATCTTTCTAAAATACACTATCTAAGATGTTTCATGTAACTTTCTAATTAATGTTCACTCTCTCAGATGTTTCATGTATCATTCTAAAAAAAATATCTTTATAATTTAGGGTGTCACTCTGTTTTGGTTTACAGAATAGATAATAATTAGTAAAAAATTAAGAATAGAGAATAATCACACCGAATACCCCAACCCGAAATTTGCGGAGGAAGGAGCAATTAATGAAAAGTTTGTAACAGTGGATGGGTAGGTAAAATCTGGATCCGATTCCCAAGAAGCATAATTCCTACGCGGATTTCGGATCAGGATTATCCGGTGTGATACTGACGGGTAAACTATATAAAGAATAGAGGTAAAAACGACAACAACATAAACATAATGAACCTACCCTAAAAAAACAATCCATACCCTCATTAAAAGCCTGAAACCAATGAGGGTCACCAATGTCAGTTCCCATAACACTTGTTTTTTTATGTTTATGTTCTCGTGTATGTATTTTCCATATATCTTTTTATTTTCATACATGAATATGAATTAAATATATAAAAAAGACAATAAACCAAACATAAAACAACAAAAAACGTCAAAATTACTCTGGTTTAGTGTTAAATCAGCTTCCTCTCGGTTAGATCATTCAACTGCCAGGGCCTCAACTACAGGCTTAAATGAGTCTAGCTTACAAGTTGGAATAAAATAGGTCCGAGTAGTGACTACCCAGATAACGATGACGTAGGTCAACACATTTCTACTGGATTTCCATCTATCATTGATAGAAGTCTTGGTGATCCAAAGACCGATAATGGTCGGTGTGTCGTCTTTTTATTTTTTTATAAACAAAGGCGATAACTGAGCAGACGACTTGGAACGATTCATTTCTGTTGTTTTGATTGTGTATTAATTTGATGGAAGTTTTGTGAATCCAGAGGCTGAAAAGGGTCGGTTTACATAAGTGGCATTCCTGTCGACTATTGGTGCTACCTAACGTTGCAATACCGGAAGGCGATACTGTATATTGTTTTCATCTTAGGATTCCTTTCTTCATTTTTTCTGCGTAAAACGAGTTAATCCCGAGATTGATAAAGGATGACTCGTTTTTATCATTGCATTCTTGGTAGTTATGGACGGTAACTGCAGGAATTTTTATTCTAACCCTGGACAAGTTCTCTTTGCCTGCCTCGCTTAAGCTCACGGGAATAGGTGAAACAGGACTTTGATTTGCTTCCGAATTTTAAGTTTGATTGTCTCTCAGTTTTGAAAAACTCTGAAATATTTTGGGTAAATTTTCATTTGGATTGATTCTTGGTATGATGCAGTCACTAGGTCAATGTATCTTATTTTTCGAAATTGGAATTCTACTAATAGATGCAAGTACATGTAAGCATCTACATGTAGTTTCATCTTTTTTTTCGCTTTTCTTCACATTTTACACTATCTTCAGAATTCCAAAAATAACCCTTTATTCTGAACGATATCCTAGATTTTCTTGTGATTCTTGGTAATTTTGTACCCCACTCTCTTTTTTTAATTGATCTATTATCATCACTGTTTTCTTGTTACTATTGATTTTGATATCAGTCCCTAGTCTTACAGCTAACGGATCTCTTAATGTTGCCCTTTTTTTGTTAGTAGTCCTTATTCATTGCCATTCTCTAGTTTTGTAATCATTGGTTCTTTCATTATTTAGTTTTTTTTGTTAGACATTTTTAGCGTACATTTGGTCATTGGTGGAGAGTTGTCTCATTTGCAATCAAACCACATCTTCTTATTCTTATATTTAATTGGAATGAACAAAAGAGATAAGTGATGAATTATTAACTAAGTACATATAACAAGATTTTCATAAGCATATAATTGAATTTCAAGAAATCTTTATGGTGATCTACTATTATCTTCATGAACAAACATCCTTCTAAACATTTGATCTTAAAAAAAAGAATCATTTATGTTGACCATTTCTATATTTTACTGTCCCTTTGTAACTGGTAGTAAATATAAAACTAAACAAAATATGTCTGGTTTTACCTCCACAACATTCTCTGTACTAAAGGATAAACATAAAGAAACTTCTTAGCATACTATCAGATCAAAGAATTTCTTTCATCCTGTAAGTTTCCTTGACAATAAATTTAAAGTCTTCCAGAAAAACGAAATTCACTTTACATATCATATACTAAGGGGACGACCATTTGATATTCTGGGGGGGGGATGGCTGGAGGATTTTGAAAATAAATAACTCAGCCTTGATAATCACAAAAATAAATGGTTTGTTCTGTGGTAGTTCGAAAATAAATAACCTGACTTACAATGTATTGAAAATGAATTACTTGGCAGGTCTTTAAGCCATTTTATAAATGCTATTCGAAAGTATGAGGTGGCACCAGATTCTTCATAAAATTCATCTTTTTTTCAAAAAAAAATTCGGAAAAAAATTCCCAAATCTTTTAATAATAAAGGTATAAATATTATTTAAATATACTTGAAATGTCTGAAAATGGGTTTCATTTAACTTGAGGTATGTTGGCTCAGGAACACTTACCTCACTTTTATTACAGGGCTGTAACTACATTGAGGCAAATGCCTTTATTTAGGAAATTTTAAAACCAAAAGCTTGTCTTCATATCAAATTGTTTTCACAGCAAGTGTTTGCAAGAAGCAAGTTCTGTTCTCCCTTGGACGTAGCACCTGTTTTTTCGGGATCAATGTTTCTTTAAATTTGTCTTTTGTTCATTGATTGCCCTTCTGTATTCTCTTAGTGTTGCATTCCTTTTGTGATTTAGTAATTTTGTTTTCAACTTGATCATGAGTTTTATTTTATTTAAGACTTTTTAGCTAATTTTACAACTTAATTTTCAAATATTATTAATATAGTTAAGAAAATAAATAATCAGTCCCTTGTTTTAATGAAAATGAAAAATCTTGCTTCAACAGTGCAGAAACTAAATAATCTGTCCTCTTAGTTTACAAGAATAAATAACCGATCCAAAACAAATCCTCCTGCCCCCCCCCCCCCCCCCCCCCCCCCCCCCAGAATATCAAATGATCGTCCCCTAATGATCTAAATGAACCTCTGATTCGCTCTGGAATGATTAAATTTTAGGAAAGGCGAATAAATTGAAAATGCAAAATATAAAAATACTTCTTTATTGGTAAGTGTAAATTAAATCAATAAAATTCAAACTCAAAACATATCAAGACGACACCAAAATGTATAAAGGTAAAATGTAACCAGATGTAAACAGCATACATTATGCATTGTTTTGGTCATAGTAAACATTGTTTGTCAGTTAAGAATGCCCTGTGTACAATAAGTTTGTAAAAAAAAACGTTCAAATTTCTACTAATCACACAAGATTTAAACAGTCTTTTTAACATAGAATTGAAGTCATGATGAGTATTGTTAACACCGCAGGCCAAAAAAAATTATCAAAAATCATTTCTACAAAGACAAAAACAAATATTTTTTCATTTTATCATATAAAATTAACATCATCAATTTTCTGTCAGAGAGTGCATCATAAGGAAGAAGAGGTGTAATTGATAAAAATCTTCTGAAAATTAACAAATGCCAACTAATTCTAAAAAAAATGTTCAAGAAGAAATTGAATAACTGTGTGCCATTTCCCAATTTTTTTAATGAAATGAGCTCAATAGTTCAACAGACAGAATTTGACATACTGCTTCTACCGATTATTGTGAAAGATTTCAAAACTAAGACTGTATACTCTCAGAACTGGTTTTACAAAATTTTATTTCTTTACTGCTAGATTATCTACATTTTATATTCATGAACTATTTCATTTTTTCAAGTCTTTTTTCTTGTTCTTTAGATAGCTATGTCAAAAAATTTAGTATCAAACTTTGAGCAGACTCAAGCTTCTGAAATGTGGGGAGAAATGACTTCTCTTTAATGCTTTTTCAAAGGGAAATAAGGAATCCTAGGGTGATGTAGTGACCCGTGACCTATAAAACAGCAAGCATCATCAAATTATGATAGAATTGCAGTGCAGAACTTCCAATTCATTCAAACTTGCAGCATCTCCCAATATCACAATGAAAGCCCAAACATTCAAATTATGCTGTACAAATGCCATAGTTAGTATAAACATGAAATAAAAGTTTACTAAACAGTAGAAATATTGAGTATATCACATTTAACCATTAAACAATAAACAAAAATGTCATGTACATTGTTTATAATTATATACTGTCAATTCCTAGACATCTAATTTTAATGGTCCATTTTATCAAAATAAATATAAATTAGAGGTATTGTGGGTAAAGCTCACAAAAAAGATACCCCTGCCCTTTGCAAAAACCATGCTTTAATAAGGGAAATCCACAAAATGATTTAGATCAAAATCAGAAAAGGAGGCACACAATAACATTATATGTTTATGTTTGTGAGAAAATTTCAATAAATTGTAATAAGGGGTTTCGTAGGAGTTTTGTATATGTATCAAAATGGGTACCCCAAATGTGTACTACTGGGTTGCAGATATGACCGAGTCCATGTAATCCATAAGTTAACCTCAAAAATCAGTCCGATGAATAGATGAAATATCATGTGCAAAAATGCATAATATGAGATTAAGAATCTGTAAAAGTTTCAAATTATTCTGTGAAGCAGTTCAGGAGCAGTAGCGCATACCAAAGATGGACAGAAGAATGAACAGACGGACAGACCGCACTCTAGAAAGCAGGGGTTTAAAGAATCTTATCTCATCCTAGTATCATATCTAAAATTTATATAACACATGTACAATGTATTACATTCATGATACTTATATAAGGTTATAAATTTTTATAAAAAAAATATCCCTTTCTAGTCTACGCAAATTGTTTCTCATACTTAATAACTTCACAGAAGTTTTAAATTAAACATTCAAAAATCTTCATTCTTTCTTCAGATATTTCTCTTTTACTTATTATGTAAGTCAGTCCATTCAAACTAAATTGGTACAAAAAAGAGGAATGTCTACAATATGCAAGATCACAAAAATGCTGGATAAAAAAAAAAAGGAAATCATTTCATTAAGTTTAGTAGATTGCAAATACATCAAAAAGGCAAAAATATCATATGATAATTACAAAAGCTTTTTTTGGTCAGATATTAAATATAGCTAAAAAAAACACTTATAATTTACTATTTTTTTTTTATTATTATACAAAATGTCAACTAGAACAGCAGTAATTTCATAAGACCTATGGTAACAAGGTTAACAATACATTTCCTCCTTTCCAGAAAACTTTTATTTGTTAACAGGATCTAACATTTTAATTTCTATAATTTAAAGAAAAAAATTTCATATAAATCTTGAAATAAATCTAAAATGATGTAATGAAGGAACCTGTTGATGGCAATAACTTAAACTTGCCACTTAGCCGGAAAAATAACGATCCCATATTTTTCTATTTTATAAATAACTATCCTAAATAAGATTATGCCTTTCTTATGAGGCACTAAATGTCAAAACGTTGCTCAAATCCCATTCCAATTATAAGCAATTCAAAAGAATCCTGACTGTAAACAAAATCTAAGTTTGTTTTTTTTTTCTCTTTCGATTTTTCGTTTTTCACTGTAAATCCTCTCCAGAAACCTTTTAAAAATTCAGTACAAATTCAACAAAATCATTCTACAAAATATAATTAATATCACATTATGATTTATCTTCTTGGTCCTGTAAAAACTTGTAAGCTGATGAGAAATCCTTTCCAGCATAGCCGCTACTCGTCATTATTCTATATATCTGGTGGGCGAGACTTCCCATAGGTATGGGGGACTTAGTCACTGTAGCTGCATTATTAGCAAGACCCAAGTCCTATTAAAAATATACATATATAAGTCGAAACATAAAATATCAACTGTAGCACATAATACCATTTTCTGATAGAGAATTATTAATTCAAATCCTAATTAACTATAAATTATAGAGTAAAATAAAATTATGGATGCAAAGAAGAATATTTCAATTCTATAATATTCTGTGTCTATTTATATTGTAATGTTCCACTACTGTCTCAGGTTAGGGTGAAGGTTGGAGCCTTTTAAAACGTTAAAACCCGCTGCATTTTTATGCACCTAAGTCAGGAGCCTGTTGTTCAGTGGTTGTCGTTTGTTGGTGTGGTCCATAGGTGTTTCTTGTTTTTTATATAGATTAGACCGTTGGTTTTCCAGTTTGAATTGTTTTACAGTAGTCATTTTGGGGCCCTTTATAGCTGGCTGTTCAGTGTGAGCTAAGGCTCCATGTTGAAGGCCGTACTTTGACCTATAATTGTTAACTTTTTATACATTGTGATTTGGATGGAGAGTTGTCTCATTGACACTCATACCACATCTTCTTATTTATATCATATACATATTTAAAATACTGTGGATTCATTATTATTCGTGGAGTATCAATTTCCATGGATTTGGTGGGTATATATAGGTAAACCATAAGTTAATTGTTCAAAGTAGCACATTTTTTCCATACACTTGTATGCAAAATCAAATCTCCTGGAAAATACATTTTTTTTTCTATCTAAGAAAAATAAAATGCTCCGCTGGGGCGCAGCTTGATACGAACCCTGAACAGTTGGGGAAAGTATGGACACAACATTCAAGCTTGATACAGCACTGAATTTGGATTGTAATTAAATATTTGACACAGCATAGGTTTCTGACACCTAATGAATGTGGTCTAAGAACTTAAAAAATTTTAATTTATCTATTCAAACCATATCATTATTATTTGCTTTTATATATAAATCAGAATTAACCAATTTAAAATAGAAAATTTTAAAGAAAAAAAAAGGAAAAAAAAATCCCCCCCCCAATTTTTTGAACCCCCCTATGATTCATCACCCCCAAACTTAATCCCAGCCTTCCTTTTGTGGTATGGTACCTTTCAGTACTGTACAATTTCAGAGAGATCCATACACTTGAACACAAGTTATTGTCTGGAAACTAGAAAAATGCTTGTTTTTTGGCCCAAAATTCCTAAACATTTAGGGCAATTACCCCCAAACTCAAACCCAGCTTTCCCTTTGTGATATGGAACCTTGCAGTATAATTTCATAAAGATCCATACACTTACACACCAGTTATTGTCCTGAAACTAGAAAAATGCTTGTTTTTTTTGCCCCTTTATGGCCCCTAATTCCTCAAATTTCTAGGGAATTACCCCCAAAATCAATCCCAGCCTTCCCTTTGTGGTATGGTACCTTGCAGTACAATTTCAGAGAGATCCATACACTTGAACACAAGTTATTGTCTGGAAACTAGAAAAATGCTTATTTTTGGCCCCTTATTCCTAAACATTGTGGGCAATTACCCCCAAAATCAATTCCAGCTTTCCCTTTGTGATATGGAACCTTGTAGTACAATTTCATAAAGATCCATACACTTACACACAAGTTATTGTCATGAAACTAGAAAAATGCTTGTTTTTTGCCCCTTTTTTGCCCTTAATTCCTAAAATTTGGAGGCAATTACCCCCAAAATCAATCCCAGCATTCCCTTTGTGATATGGAACCTTGTGGTACAATGTCAGAGAGATCCATACACTTACACACAAGTTATTGTCATGAAACTAGAAAAATGCTTCTTTTTTGCCCCTAATTCCTAAAATTTGGAGGCAATTACCCCCAAAATCAATCCCAGCATTCCCTTTGAGATATTGAACCTTGTGGTACAATGTCAGAGAGATCCATACACTAACACACAAGTTATGTCTGGAAGTTACCAAATTGCTTATTTTTGGCCCCTTTTTGGCCCCTAATTCCTTAACTGTTGGTACCATAACCCCCAAAATCTATCCCCACCTTCCTTTTGTGGTATTGAACCTTATGGTAAAATTTCAAAGAGATCCATTCACTTAAACATAAGTTAGAGTGCGAAAACCAATGTGTCTTCGGACGACGACGACGACGCCAACGTCATACCAATATACGACCACAAAATTTTTTTTGCGGTCGTATAAAAATTAATACACAGTACTTGTTTTGGGTTGTTGTTTTTAAAGATGATAAACCTATATTTTCAAAGAATTGAAATTGTTATTGAGGAGCAAACTTTCTCTTTTCAACAAGTGTATAAAATGTAAGTATGTTATACTGACCTTGGTCATGAGAGCAGTTCCGAATCCTCCCTGATAATTATTACTTGATGGTACACCATCCAATACTCCTGGACAAGGATTGTATACTTCACTGGACCAACATCTACCAGAGCTTGTGTTTAAAATCTTTGCTAATAATTTTGGCTCCAGGCCTAATCTGAAATATTGTTAAAATACTAGAACTGTAAATGAACTCAAAAAAGATAATACCCACACTGCATTACTTTTGGTAAGCTGAAGTTAGTAAATTGGATTATCTCCTCTCTAACATGTTGGATTTGGATTATAATCCTTTATGCACATCCTCGGGTAGTGTTCTGTGAAAAGTTTCATTAATATCTGTCTAACCGTTTAGTAGGATTTGCACTGACAATGCACATGAACAGATTCCTATATTCCCCCATAAAATTTTGTTCACAGGAGGACAAATAAATATATGTGTTGATAGGACACCATGCCCCACTCACCTTATCACATTTCCATGTTCAGTCAACTACCAAATCTGAGACAAAACCATTATTTGGCATATATTCTAAAAGGTTACCATTATAATGAACATGTGTACTAAATTCCAAGTTAAAGTGACCATAACTTTTAAGTTAGGGTGAACTATTTCAAACCAAATCTTTATCCTGATATTGGTGTCACGAATGAATAGAGAGACCAGAAAACATAATTCCCCTTCTATCAAAGGAGCATCATAAAAATTGTCAAATTATAAATATATATATGTATATCAATAAATTAACCCATGTATTTATATTACAAATTAAGGCTTTGAGATTCAATGCAACTATAATTTACAATAGTCCAAGTATGGATTAAACAAGAAAGATTTTAGCTTTAAAATTAATATGACTTTATTGACTTACTTTTTACCGAGGTTCATTGCTTCAGAAGTTCCTATCATTGATATGCCTAATAACATATTGTTACAGATTTTTGCTGCCTGAAACAAAACAAAAATATATCTTCAAATTTTTTTATTAATAATGAGTAATTTAAAAATAGAAATGAAGTGTAAAATGTATTAAAATTTTCCAATATATATGTGTACTTAAAATAATTCAAATATCTTGCATTTAAAAAATAATGATCTCGAGTCTTTTAGGCCAGGGTATTTTAATTTGTTGGTTTACAGATTTTTGATATGAAAGATTCAAGTTGGTCAGTCAGAAAAAATACATAATAAAATATTTAACAAGACATAAATATGTATAGAATTACTGTGTACTTCAGCTTTATTACAATATTTGTGAAACAAGAAAATTCTCTGAGTTATTTGTGGTCTTCTTTTACTTAATGCCTTTCCCGTTTGGATTGGTCCAAACAGAATGAAACATCTTATCAAAATTGAATCGCACGGAATAAGGACAACAAACTTATTGTAAAGGGCTATTAACAAAGTTTTTCGTCCAGTAAAAATTTTGTGTCAACAACATTACCAGATCTGTTTGATTGTCTCGTTAGAATTTTATTTTAAGAAGCTAGTTGTTACAAAGAATTTGGCAGAGAAGGCAGAAACTTAAAAAGCCTGAAATTTCACTTTTTATTTCTTTTCTGAAAATCGGAAAATTTGGGTAGGCAGACACGTAAACCAATAAATTAAAAATGGTTGCCTTATTGGAAAAATTCAAGGCTATGTAAATAGATTCTACTTCTATTGTGGGTATTCTTCACTCAAATATTTCCTTTATTAAAGATAAGTAAATTAAGATTTTCATCATTCAAGCTTTAGAGAGAGTATGTTAAAATCTAAAATTGAACTTTTGACAGGAGGAAAATATTGAAACTCATGAGCAAACAGAAGTAGAGTTTGTTTCTCCCAATTTTTTAGTTTTTCAAGTGTAGGTGAACCGATAAAACAATGGCACTGTTGCAAATAATGATACATGTACCAATAAAGTGACTACATTATACATAGTTATCTATATAATGAATAGGGTACCATTTGCAGCACCTAAAACTAAAAGTTTATTGACCTGGCAGAGCCATATTTTAATTTCTCCACAGTGGGCAAAGGGAGATAAATCAAATTCCCTCAAACTTAAATCACAATCAGTTCTGCAAGGATTTCATGACATTTTCTACATCCAAAGGCCTTAAAGCTACCTAAAGTTGGTCAACCAGAACAAACACAAACCTAATCTGCAAGTCATTATCATACACCAATGTACCATAAATTAGATAGATATTTGCAATCATAATGAGAAAAAAGGTTTGAAAACTATTTGATTCCAGAAGGACAGAATGACATCCATAGGTCAAATTATATGCCCCAACCAATTAAAAACGGGTACATAAAATCATACATTGTGCACATGAATACAGATGTTATAAGAAAATATAACAGAAGATGATTTTAATGCACAAATAGTTTTGTACCTGTCCTGTTCCCACTGGTCCACAGTGCACTACATTCCTCCCCATCACAGACAAGTATTTTTGTGCCATTTCAAAACTTCTTGGAGCTCCACCCACCATGAAGGTCAATGCTGCATCCCTCGCTGCATTTACACCTGTCAAATGTAACACAGGTATTAAAAGAACATTTAAATTTAAATACAACTTTGCTTTGACAGAAATATACAAAATTATAGCTGAACATACTGTGGATTCAACATTATTCATGGAATACCAAGTTTTACGGATTTCGTGGGCTTACATGTAGATGAACCAAGAATTTAAATGTTCAACGAAGTACAAACTTTCTATAGACTTGTATACAAACTTTAGCAAAACCATGAAATCAAATATCCATGTTATTTGGTATCCATGAAAATAAATGAATCCACTGTATACTGTATAATTCAAATTTAGAGTTTTAAATAAATTAATGTTCTTATTTGAATGTTTTTCATTATGATGTATCCCATGACCTCAAAAACAATTGTTAAATAAAATTGAGAATGGAAATGGGGAATGTGTCAAAGAGACAACAATCTGACCATAGAGCAGACAACAGCCGAAGGCCACCAATGGGTCTTCAATGCAGCGAGAAACTCCCGCACCCGGAGGCGTCCTCTAACTGGCCCCTAAACAAATATGTATACTAGCTCAGTGATAATGGACGTCATACTAAACTCCAAATTATACACAAGAAACTAAAATTAAATATGATACAAGACTAACAAAGGCCAGAGGCTCCTGACTTGGGACAGGCGCAAAAATGAGGCGGGGTTAAACATGTTTTTTGAGATCTCAACCCTCCCCCTATACCTCTAGCCAATGTAGAAAAAACAAACGTACAACAGTACGCACAGTAAAACTCAGTTTCAGAGAAGTCCGAGTTCGATGTCAGAATAGGAAACAAAAGAAAATAAACAAAATTACAATAATACATAAATAACAACAGACTACTAGCAGTTACTGACATGCCAGCTCCAGACCTCAATTAAACTGATTTATTGTTATCTTTTTAAAACTTCCTTACTGGAATTAATTTCTAGTAAAAAAGTATACCACACCTATTATTTTTGTTTTGCTTTAAATAATTCCTTAATTTGTTAGTATTGACCGATTTATAGTTCTTTCTTAGCATAATGAAAGTGTTGAACTTAATCAGTTGTTTATGGTAACAGTTTTTTTTTATTTGTTTTCTTTTGTTTGTTTCAAATGCTTTATCTAAGGGTATAAGTGAAAAAGACAGTAAGTAACACAATGATGCAAATAACAGTAACAAAAAAAATCTATGTAAAAATAATGAGAAGTATACTTACCAATGAGACAAATATTAACCAGAGACCAAGGAATAGGATGTAAACAACAATAGGTCACAGTACGGCCTTCAACTATGAGCAAAACCTATACCACATAGGTCAAGATATTATAATATATCTACCCAACCATGCAAACAATTTTGATTATATTTCTTTTTCTTTAAGGGAAATTTTTTAAGCCAGATTGTAGGTATCTTTCACAGTTTGAAGTGTAATCTGCCCTCAATAAGCAATATGTATCATGGTTACAAACCTCCAGAAACAGGTGCATCAACATATGAAGAATCTTTTTCTGTTGCTATAGCTGCCATTTCTTGAGATGCTGCCGGATCTATGGTACTACTGTCTACTAATAAACTGTTTTCTTGAATAGCGCTGTAAAATACAAAAAATATCAATTGATAATGTTTCGAAAAAAATACAGCAAATTGTTTCAGGGTGATGGCTTATAAATCACTTAACAATGTAAATAATATCCCTCTACTCTCCCATGTAACCCAGAACAGTGAAATCATATCTAAATTTATATTTTGTGCCATTTGGATAGATCAATTAAATATAAATCGGATTCATCAAATATACATGGATTTGTGGTTAAAAGCAATTTTGATTTTTTTTTTGTTTGTTTGCTTTTATAGAAATATAATGTATTATATAACAAATTATACGGAAATTCATGTCGAATGGCAGTTTACGGACCATCCCTTATTCATTATGAACTAATAATCTGCAGCATGGCCTCCAGTACCATCATAAATAATTGTTGGAAGGAAAGAAAAACATGTACCTAAAGCTAAAATAACCAAAAAAACAGAAACATAATCAATTGTGTAATGAATGAGGGAGGTTATTCTTGAATTTAAAAGGACCAAGAATGCACATGTTGGTGTGATTAGCATATAGTCCATTTTTTATTCAAAGTAGCGTAAAACAAGAAGTACAACGCAACTGTCTGACATATCCAAAAAGCACACACAAGTTACAACTCATCACTGTTGAGCTACTACTCAATTACAAAATCATTTTGTTTAGAAGTACTGGAGAAAAGTGTGACAAAAATTTTTAAGTTTAGTCAACACACAGAAAAATTGTAAGTATCTGCAAACAGGAAGTAAGTATCTGACAGATCTAAAGTGCTTCCATGTTACAACTCATCACTGTTAAGCTGATAACCAAATATAAAGTCAGCCTGTTTAGTTTCTCAGAAAAATTTGACGAAATAGTAAAGCAGTCACTCTTGGGAAGTATCTAAAGTGATAGCTCAAGAGAGAACTTTTGAAAGAGGTTCCCAAAAAATGCCGACATCCCCTGTGGTCTGGATCGGGGCAAATTGTTAAAGTGTTTTCAATTGGTAGAGTTATGGTTCTTGCAGCAGTGAAATAAAAAAATGCCAGATTAAAATGACCGTTGTTAAAAGTTGAAATGACAATTTCGTGCGAAAATAAGCTGTCTGCTGACTGCTTTAGACAGGTGGTTACTGAAAGGAGTTAAATTATATAGAGAAAACATTTGAGAGGGTCTAAAAGTGGCAGTTATAGCCACTGGCTTAGTGACTGTTAAGGCAGAACAGACTGTACTACCAATGTGCAGCTCTTGGAAGTAAAGCATACCTAAATATACCAGTACCACGATTAGTGTAGACCTCTTGTACATGTTGTGTGGCTGGTAACATGGTAATAATATGTTTGCACTGTGCTGCCACATCAGCTGGTGAGTTAACTGTCTGTACACCTACAATAAATCATCAGTCCTTTAGAAAACTGAAAACAGTAAAGGTTTAAGGTAATTGCTTGTATACCTACAATAAACCAAAAGTCCATTTGTCCTTTATAAAACTGTAAACAGACTTACAGTAAGAGTTTTTGAAACAGAGGGCTTCATAATGATGAACAAAAAAACTTTATATAAGCATAAGTATTTTGTAATTTGTATCTTTAGAGTTTTTGTAATTTTATTTTGTGCATTGTTTCGATCTGATAAGTCGAGCCCATTTCAACGGATTTTTATAGTTTCTTCCTATGTTGTGAGGTTACACCAATATCCCAGGTCAGGGGATGGTTGGGTGCCTGCAAATATGTTTAACCTTCTATATGTGCCTGTCCCAAGTCAAGAACCTGTAATTCAGTGGTTGTAGTTTGTTGCTGTATATCATATTTGTTTTTGACTATTGTTTTGTACATAAATCAGGCCGTTAGTTTTCTAGTTTTAATTATTTTACATTTGTCTAGTCAGTGAGTACCTTCTATAGTTTAACATGAAACAGACTTTCCTACACTATAGCTGTCTAACTGTTAACAACTTATATGAAGTCATGGATGTATTCAACTGTTTCAAAATCATCTTATTTGCTTCGTAAGTCTACACTTTCTCCATGGAAAGGTGTAATAGGAACAATTTTGACAATTATTTCGTGTCGATATAATTTGCAAAACTGTGATATGAAGGGAATGTAAGATTTACTCTGAAATTAAACATATATGTCAAAGATCAGTTCTTGTATTGCTGTTCTTCATAAAGACAATATAGTGTGAAATCTCAATTGATTGGTAAACATTTTTTAAGAATGCAGGATCTACACTTTGATTTATTAAGCATTGTATTGTATATACCCACTTACAATTTTCACAGCCCTCCATGTTTTGAATTGTTTTCATAGCATCTTTAGACACATCAAAAACAACTAGTTTGTGTCCTTTCTTCACCAAGTTCCTGGCCATGTGGTTTCCCATGTTACCTAGGCCAATAAATCCTAATGTCTCTAGGCTAGACTGAAAAGAAATGGAAATATTATTTATTTACATCAAGCTTCTACTAATCAATACAATTCTTTCAACATTCTGACTCACCTGCATGTATCGGTTTAATGTTAAATGTATCTAGAAAAAATGTTGTTGCTTTTAGTAGTGTTGGGTTGCTGTCTCATTGATGTATACTCCACCTATCTATTCTGTTATATATTATCATAGAAATCAATCTAGGTATCTACATATTATACATAGCCAACTTACCATTTCAGAATCTAATGCATTCTTGGTAATATTTTCAGAAGTGTACACCAAAATGTAGTGATTGGTTGAAAATGTCCTCAACAATAGAATTTGACCAATGATGTGACATTTTTTTCATTATGGGGTACAAACATTAAAATTACCAACAATCCTTTAGATTCTTAAACAGTGAATTATTACAATGACAGTGGACTACATTCTCATACAAAATCTTTATCAATAAAATTATGTAACAAGGTGCACTCTATCTTACAATGAGTTTATTTTACATTCTTTAAAGTCCAGTAACGTTCAACTGTAAACATGACATCTACATATGTACATGCAAAACTGTCTTCTTTCTTAAATAAATGTACATTTTAATGTTATTCTAACTTTGCCTGCTTGTTTACGGTCAGTTTCAGGTTTTTTTTCTGTTGGGTTGATGTATTGACATGAACCTTACATCATGTTTCATTATCCTTTTACTGCTTCAAAATCACTATTCTCTGATGATTACAATCTAATTGAAGTCAATTTTTCCATCTGGTTTATTTTTTTTTCATTTAGATTTTTTATGTAATGTGCCAAGCCATTAAGTTTCATAGATTTTTAAGTTTACCATCTTGATGCTATAGCCTACTGTTCAAAGACATGCACAGATGACAACTAGATGTTTACTTTCTTATTACATGTACTTAAATGTCTATGTACATGTACTTATCAATTTTAATTTGTTCCTTCTTGATATTTTTTTTCACTACATCTGTGATGTATTAATGTACATATATCTTTGTGTAGTTCCACTGTCCAATAATCATAACATTATAACTTACCATGTGTTTTACTCCATTTACTGAAAATAAAGAAAATAAAAGTTCATTCTAGCAGCAATTGTTAAAAAAAATATTTTGCATAGTTACATATAATTACATATATCATATCTATATATACTTCCTACTTGGAAGGGCTGCCACAAACTTAGACAGTTAAAGTATAAATGTATACGTGTAATACACCACTACATTACATAGATTAACGGCATAATAAGTTAAACTCAGTTTAAGTTAGATTCATTCTAAATTTATTATCCACTTGTCACTTCCTGTTTTCATTTCGTTTAAAAATCGAAAGTAAACGTGATCTTCTCTTGTTTAATTTAAAAAGACTGTCATTTTAATTGTTCAAAGTTTATAAAAATGAATTCCAAATATCGATTTCAACGTTTTTACAGGGATAGTGATAATGCAGTGGTAATATTCGTAACAATTTCATTTATGCTGTGATTTCTGGTTTTAAAAAAGAGGAACACAACTTTTGGTGATCAGGATGTCCTCTAAAAATAACTGAAATTGTGAACTAAATTTGCGGATTCTCGTTCTAATCTTTTATCTAAGCATCACACCAGTCAAATCATGCCATGAAGGCCTACATTTGTAGCATGCTTAAGGCCTTCAAAGATCCTGGGCATAATACATGTATGTATACATGTAGCTAGTAATGTATGTCCTTGGTCCCTTACTGTTACTCAAAATAAGGCTGATTTTCATCTCGCATAAAAGTGACTAAAGCCCTCAAAACTAGCTGAAACCCCTGCTGTTTACATAAGACAATGTTTGACATGCCCTTTTTGAATTATCAATCAGCGTGCTAAAGTGCCCTTTTCATGATTGGCTCCCTACCCTTTTGAAATCCTAGCTTGAACACTGAGTTTTATTGGGATAGATGACCGCCAAATAAAATAATTGTGAAAATTTGCAACCAAGTATCATTTCACTAAAATGGAAGTTGAGTACCTTGGGTTATATCAAGGTTTACAGATTTTAAAAAATCTTTGACAGGGACCCAAACCATGTGCAACTAAAAGGACGCAAAACAGAATATAAATATTACCAAGGAAAGAAAAGGCAGTATATTAACAAGAATTGCAATTACAGGTTCATTTGTTTATTCAATTATAATTCTTTTGTAAAGTGATCTCATTTTCAAGTGTTTGCCACTGGCACTGATGAATGTCCATGAACTATATGTGTAACCAGAGACATATATATACTAAAGTAGTATATATGTCTCTGGTGTAACTTGTTGGTATTGTAGTATTTCAAATAAGTATGACGTATTGAAAGGCTATTTATCGTCACAGCAAAAATATATAATAGCCTTTCAAGACGTCGTAATCAAATTTTTTTATCATGTACATTTACTAATGGTGTAGTAGAGCTCGGAGACTGAGTGCATGTTTCACTCGAATTCAGGCTGCCCTCTTAAATGCTCTACAAATGCTTGCATATATAAATACATAAATAATTTTCTCTATAGCTATATTACCTAACGATAAGTTGTTGCATTTCGATGATTTTTGCCACAATAGGTGGTTAAATCTAGTCGATGCCTTCCTCAATGACGCCATGACATTTGTTTATGTTAGAGAGTATTGTCTGGTTATCTCCCCTTAACTGTAAAAATTACGTTGTTGCAAATCTTTGGTCATGGTCACCAGAGACATATATACACATATGTGTATATATGTCTCTGTGGTCACACATAAAAAGCGCGTTAAGGATCACGTAGCTTTACTCTTACACGGCCTATGGGCTTCTAGGAACATCAAAATATCGATGTAGGATATAAAAACTTAATTCACATTGACTGTTAGGGGGTAAAAAAGTTCGTGTTAAAATAAATATGAAATTTTTAGTATCCTAAATGTAGATCTGGAACTTTCATGCAAATAAAAGGTAAGAAATGTTATACAGGATTGCACAGCGGGCACTTGTCTCTGAATCCCCCCTCCCCCCCCCCCCCCCCATATATATACTACCTTAATATCATGACTATACATGAATGATATATATAGGATTTTTTTTCAGAGACAAGCTAGTGCCTGTGCAGGATTCTCCCATATTATATTCTCTCAAATTCGTCCTTTTTAATTTTTTTAATTTTTACCCTCGTTCTCCTGGATACACCAAAACTGATGAACCCCGCCTGAAGTGGCAATTAATGATCCAGTCAATGGACCTACCATGCCATGCCACTGCTCTTGTTTTGACTTGAAAAATACAAAAGAAATACTACCAAAGTCACCTTAAGGGCTGTCTGTGGTATATAATATAGCTAACCCTTGGACTTCTCCCATTCCGTTAGTAAAACCCTTGCTAAAGTGGGGTGTTCCGGGGGTTGGAACCCCCCTTTTTTTCACGATCAATGCTTTTGAATGGGAAAATTTGGTTGGACCCCCCTTTTATCCTGGGTTGGAACCCCCCTTTAAAAAATGGCTAGATCCGCCCCTGACATGAATATTAAATATTTGAAGCTAGACATAAAGCAAACAATTATTATAATAAATTACGAATCAATAAGTGTCAAAGCCAGCAGGTAAAAGCAAAAAGAAATACAACTTTTGACCATTCAGAAATCATTGTCATTTTTGAAATAATTTGCACAATGAGTATATCAACCCAGTTGCGAATGTGAGCGTTTAAATACCGACTCTATGGATAAGCACTGATGCACGTGCATTATGTTTTAAGCTTAGATCTTGTTGACAATTTCCATCGAAGACGTCTAAGAACAAATTAATTTGGCATTTTGAAGATTTTGTGTAACCATTTTCTATGCAGCTGCATTGAGCTTAATAATAAAAACATGTATAAACGTTTTGAAAGTCTATATATATATATTGGTGAAACCAACTGGAAAATTTCTGGATCCACCCCTGGTTAACCAAGAGATATGTTTTGTTCTATTTGTTTCTCTTTTTAACCATATACATTATTGAGTTAAACAGCTAAATCGTTGATTTGCATTTTTCTGTTCATTCCATATAAGTTGGAATTTTTTTGAAATTAGCAAACTTACAAAATACAAACGAAAATTCCAAAAAGTTTTAGTAATTTTTATTTAGAATGTTAAAATTTTGTACTTACATGTGCATCTATATCCATAATTCATTCTGTTTTAGAATTTAATTGAAACTGTTGGTGTAATTCACAAATCAATTCAAATACTTTTTTAAAGTAATCGTTCAATGAAGTATATACGAGACCATGAAACTATTATTTGAATAACTGTGGACCGTGCTCTTTAAATATAACATGTAAAATTCCAATAAAGCAAAAGTAGTCTATCCCTTTGTAAACAGATCAACAATATATATTTACCAATCCTTTTTTGTTTATGAATGATGTCACAAGTTACGGTTGTTGTCGGAATCTGGGATAAAGTATACAAGTATTATTTACTATGATCTACTATTTATTCACACCATGCATGGTCAGTTTAATGCTCATACGACATGCGTTATATTTATTATTTTTCATGTTCCACTCCATTGATATTTTGGAATGGAAGATATACTGTTAAAATTAAATATCATGTACTGTTAAGCCTAAAGCAAAAAAAAAATGACACACTGACACAGATAAAAAAAACACCATCAGAGATGCTTTCTTAACGATCGATCTTATCCAATAACTGATGTCCGAAACGATTGTTTGCAATAATGTTTACTTAATCACTTTATTTTATGGGCTTATATATAATAATTATTGTTATGTTCTTGATTAGTCTTGCAGATTTGTAAAGGAATTCATTTTAATATAATTATATTCATAGATGTCACGCTATATTCATTTCTATTTTTATTTAGGTCGCCTTACTCTAATGGTGCAAATAGGTGTAAAAGATCAATACTTGCATGACATGATCTTGGACCTTGACATCAATAAAAGAAACGATATAAAATTTGAACATAAAATTAAAAGATTATATGCATGTATTGTGATCTATTGTATATGATTGGCAATGAGACAACTATTCACCAAAGATACAACTACGGGTCGTACGGCTTACAGCAACGAAAAAAAACATACCGTATAGCAAGTCTTAACAAGCAATAAAGAATTAACCAAATTGAAACGTAAAAAAAAGATAAAATTTTAATACGTCAGTGCTGTGAATAGCGTGAGACTCACGCATTTTCATGCTTATTTGGCGGCATTTTCCTTTGATCTATTGTTTTTTCTCTTTGATCTTTACACAATTTTTGACAAATCGCACGCATTTGCTACATGAAATCTTGACAGCCCTGTAACGCTCTGATTCAAGGTTATAATATTGAACAACAACATTTATCATATAACAGACGAACAGAGACAAAATCCACTGGACTACAGAAGCCTTATGTGGCAGGCTAGTTTGGAAGTTCTCAGCCCTCTCCAAGTTAACTTGAGACTATGGGGTAACAGCTACATAGGCACACATTGACTCATCAGATCGGCACTACGTACACACAAATCATAAGAGAACGACAAGGGACACAAATTACAGATCTAAAAGAGTAGCCTTTTTCAACTGATTTTTATTGTTTGTTCTTATGCTGTGCTGTTACACCACTGTCCCAGGTTCGGTGAGGATTGAGCGCTCACAAACATGTTTAACCCCGCCACATTCTTTATGTGCCTGTCCCAAGTCAGGAGCCTGTAGTTCAGTGGTTGTCGTTGGTTCATGTCTGCCATATTTGTGTTTCGTTAATTGTTTTGTTATAAATTTGGCCGTTAGTTTTCTCAATTGAATTGCTTCATATTTTCTTGTCGGGGCCTTTTCAAGTATAGCCGACTATACGGTATAGGGTTTTCTCATCGTTGAAGGCCGTACGGTTGCCTATAATTGCTTAAATCCGCTTTATTTGAACTTTTGTGGATAGTCATCTCATTGGCAATCATACCTCATCTCCTTATTTTTATATACAAAAATGTAGTACTCGCAGAAACTGAAGCAAGTTCAAAGCAATTTCAACTAAAAAAATGAATCCTGTTTTACCAGACTAAAAGTGCACATTCGGCATGTTTGTTGAATTATATTTCTTCCCAGGAGACAGGTATGGCATATAAAGGATTAACCAGAGATGTAAATGTTTGCATGTTTATCCAAATTATCCTACATCCACATCAATTTCAATATCCTTTGTAAAACTGTGATATTTCTAACAGAAACATTTAATGAGCATTTCAGGAAATTTTAGAACAAAATGTAGTGTGAACTTTTAAAACTTTTGTAAAGCAAGAAGCGATCTAGATCTACAAGGGTCAATTCGAGATGCTTATTTATCTGACCTTTCCTCTATGACTTAACCTAAGTATTGCAGCCCTTATATTCCGATAACCCAAAAGTTCTTCACTCTGTTAGTCCGTATTATCCTTTCACTCTACTTGTCCGACCTTATTAGCCCGATACCCGCTGGTCTCAAATCCTATATGTCTGGCGCCAAACCATTTTTTTTATAGTATTCAGACAAAAGGTGTTTCTATACATATACCATTAGGAATAGAAAAGAAAGTTAGAGATATCCATCCATGACAAATAATCAGTACATGTACAGTAAAAAACACAGAAAGCAATGGAATAGCGCTTAAAAATATTGCTGTTCTCAAAGTCACAGTGAGTCCCTTAACACGGAGCTAAACTCTCACTTCACTGCAAGTTAGAGATAGCCCTAGCGCCGGTTGGAGCCGAATTCTTTGGAAACTGACGACCACTCAGAAAGCATAATTAAGTTGAAAATCTGATATCACGAAGTTGTGTTCAAGTAGTGAGTAATAGTACAAAATCACAGCCATTCTTCTGTAGATGTATTTGTCAATTTAACGTTTTTTATTTATCAAGAGGACGCTCTGACTGTAGATGCATTGACGAGATACAAGTGCCTACCCTTCCGGAGCACCTGGGATCACACAATTTGTCACACAAGAAACATTTCCGGAGAGTTTGTAAATATGGACTAAAATTGACAATAGTTTAGAACTTTGCATAGCTATACTTTGAGGATCTTGTAATATTATTTCATTAGTACAATTAGTAATTGAATTATGAATGTTTGTAGATAGCTTGCGATTAAAACTGAAATTTTGATAGATTTTTAGCAATTTTTTACTAACGAAAACATTCCTAATCAATACCCTATCTGTCGCAGATATATCTATGCACTGTATTTCAGATTTACATTAATTCCTCTTGAGTCCTTCATCTAGGAACACTCATACCCATGAATTAAAAAGCCAAGGATGCATAGATTCTTGAATACGCGAAGTGCTATTTTAAAAATCGTACAACGTAATTCAATTTATTAATGAAATACTTATCACTACTTAGTTACAGACCAAAATGTAAGTTCAATATATGCAAGCTTACCGAAAAATGCCTTATTCAGATTTTTTTTTGTGTTTTTAACGCCACTTTTAAGCACCGCTTTTGGGCTATTTCGTGGCGGCCAGTTTTTATTGGTGGAGGAAGCTGGAGTGCCCGGAGAAAACCACCGACCTTTGATTGGAAAACTGACAATCCTAGTCAATTAAGATTGGAGTCGAGTGCACCCGCACGAGCGGGGTTCGAACTCACAACCTCAGTGTTGACTGGCTAGTGATTACAGTAGTAACTACTTAGACCACACGGCCACCGAGGCCCCCCTTATTCAGAAAGAAGCCCTGGTTATTTAAGAGAGGAACACACATTACAGAATTATGCAACAAATACACTCCTCTTCGTGAGAAAAAACTCAAACAACAGTCCTGAATTGTCGTAGGATTAATTTCATGTACAGTACCCCACTAATACCAATAAAACACAACACGTGATAACGTCTCAGCGATGAATAAAACAAAACAAACGAGAAGCTAGATTTTGATTTCCGCGTTTCATACAAAATGTGCTCATTCATAATTTTGCTCTCAAATAACACTACAAAAAAGAAGCGTTTATTTCTTAAATTACGATTTGAAACGTCACTAGTCATCTATGAGTTGGTAATTACGGAGTACTTTCCCTTGAATAGAAATTTTCTAGTCTTCAATTCATGTCCGATCAGATTAGTTTTTATTGGGAAACAGTATTCTGGAATACTAATTGTAATAACCGAACATTAATCTCTGTGTTAAAAGTATCCGATGAAATTTCATTACAAATTTTAAAAAAAATAGTACTTACACATACAATAATATCCTTGAAACATGTTTGCGTGTAAACGAAAGTCACAAATTAATGATGAAGTCAAATAATTTCAAAGCAGTCATTCAATCACTGTTAATAAAATGCACACGAACAAAGTACTTAAATGACCACCAGTCGTCATCTGAATCGGAATGAGAAAATGGCCAAGCAAGTATATATTTAAGTCATCTTAAAACGTTTTTTGTTAACGAAACAACGTGTAGAGTTATCGAATACTAGTAGATACTATATTTGCTCTACCCTCCTTTAAATACTTTGTGATATGGACAAGCAACAATTTTGTAAAATCTCTATCTTACAAAACGACATGGTATCTTAAGTAAAGTATGATAAGAAGTTTAATCAACTCTAAAACTACTTCGTTCAACTGTACTATAATGAATAATTTTCATAACGATATAGAAATAACAAATAATAATATAAAACAATAGTGTAGGTTGATAATACAATTCCTTATAAAACTTTTTCTTTTGCGTTTTTAAAGTCAAAAGCTCTGGCTTACTTCTCCGTGGCGCATTGTTCTATTGTCTAACATACGTACGAACATTTTTTTTAGACGATTTGTTTAATAATAAATTATAAATTATAAAAACGCCTTCGTTTTTGCTGGATATATGGTATATTGTGGTAGTAAAAAGATTTTTCAAAAGTACAAATGATAATTTTGCATGGAAAAGTATTTAAATTCTTTCAAAAAATATATGGAAGGACCGTAAGAGCAGAGAGATTCGCTGAAAGGGAAAACACTAACCTTGTCCTTTATTTTGGGCTAGCTAGGGCGCTGCTTTTTAACGCTTTAAAAGAGAGGCAGGTGATACCAATGGGATACTCAAACTCATAAGTCGAAAACCAACTGACAACTCCATGGCAAAAAATGAAAAAAGGACCAAACGACAAACAAAAATCCATTAAACACAACGTAGCAAACTAAAGACTAAGCAACACGAACCACACCAAACACCGCGGGTGATCCCAGGTGTTCATGAAGCGTTAGCAGACCCTTCCCTACATGTGGCACCCGTCATGTTGCTCATGTAAGTACACATTCGGTAATAAGGCTTATTCAGTAAGTCACATGCTAGAAAAAGAGGACGGA